TTCCGGGTTGGATTTGATTTGGGGAGACAGCTCCTGGGAGCGACATCCAGTGACTAAGGTGGGTGACTGAGCTAGATTAAAGTTGGAGCCCAAACCAGCCAAGTTGTGAATAGAAGGCAGTAACACTGGTTTTCTTTTGTAGCTTGTTAAATTGTGCCTGAAGGATCTTGTCAGAAAGTTCTAGAAATGCTTTGACTAGAGTCTGCAATGTTGGAAAAGTGCACCAGCTACAAGGGGGGGGATGGTCATTGGGCTTCATGAGCTGTGCTTTGACAGATGAAAAGAAAAAGTTGGGCCTTAACTTTAGAGCCGCAGCTTGAACAACGCCTTTTGGCGGGCGCTACCATCTTCTGCAACCAGAGCTGCATTGTTACGAATTACAGCTCCGTAATCAAATGAGCCAGGATGTAAATGTTTGCTGGGTAAACGTAGTGACACAGGCAAACAAAATGGCAGCTGAGAGCCCCGACAACCTAACATTCACTGAAACAGAAGGCGCGATGTGATGTTACGTCAAAACAGTTAAAGAGAAAATAGGTGATGGGAACGGCAGTGGGGGAGATGGTGTTTTTCTGGTTATGGCTAGAAGAGGAAGCCAGAAGATATTTGAAACGATATTCTCATCTGGTTGGGGAGGCTACTGTTCATAATGAATTAAGATGAAATGTATCAGGAGGAAATCAGTCATGCGATTGCTCGCCGATGGCATTTCTAAGATATCTGAACATTTAGAATTGTAAAGGCTACTTCATGTGAATGTGTTTTTTTTTTTTTACACTGATGTATTTTATATGTCAGGATTAAGCGCTTTCTTTTGTGAAGAGCTAACATTTTACAATGCCTAGCGTGCAATCCCTGAACCCCGAGGGCATGCACATTTGGCTTGATACAGCTGCTCATCACTTAGTGGGGAGGGGGGCAGGCACCATTACAGCCTGACTAATGCTCTGGGTTTGAAGCTCAAAGCCTTCAGACAAGGCTTTAGTACGTTTTTTCCATCTTCAGGACCACGGACATGTTTTATTTCATTAGTTAGCATGTCACAATGAGGGTCTGTGTAAACATGAAAAGCTATCCACTAAATCTAAATCAGTCCAGCTAACAAGCTGATAGTCAGAAGGGAGGCATCTGACTCACCCAGGGCAGAACTAGCTTAGTAAATGACCGATATGGCAAGGTTTGCAAGAGTCACTATTCATTTCAGTTACTGTTGTCATTAAGAGTTCCCTCTGGTATAAAGGGCAGAGCGTGTGTGTAATGAGCAAGGGTACCACACATGCATAAGTTCAGGTACACAGACAGTTGTCATATTTAAAAATCCTCAGTAAGGAAGGTCCTTGTTTTTAGGAGGCTGTTAAAGGGAAAATGAGCTGTTCTTCTGCTGTGTCAGAGGACATTTCGAACAAAGGTGTTTTGAGAAAGCAAGTCTCTACCTTCAGGGGATTGTGTTTGCTCTGGGAATCTCAGAGGTGGGGCCCTGGGCAGAGAGAAACAGACCCAGGGCCTCGGGGCTCGGGCTGCCTCTCCCTCCCCACAGTGAGCTCTCTCCCCTGGGAGGCAGTGGCGGGAAGAGCCAGGACAGATGGACAGGGTGAGTCTTTGTTTTGCTTTTCATGGGCTATAGAGTTTTATTTAACCAGTTGAGGTCTCTTTGGTTGTAAAATAGACTTAAAAATGTTTACATTCTGGGCAGGTGGCTCAGTTGGTTGGAGCGTCATCCCATACACCAAAAGGTGGTGGGTTCGATTTCCCGTCAGGGCACATACCTAGGTTGTGGGTTGGATTCCTGATCGGTGCTAATGGGAGGCAACTGATCGATGTTTCTCTCACATAGATGTTTCTCTCTCTCTCCCTCTTCCTCTCTCTCTCTCTTCATCTCTCTCTAAAAATCAATAAAAAACATATCCTCGGGTAAGGATTAATGAAAAGCAATGTTTACCACATAGGGTTATTGTGAAGATCAGCTGAGAGAGTCAATCTATCATTTAGCAAATGGTTGTTGAGTGACTATTTAGTGCCTGAGGCGCACCGGTGAGCAAGGCCAGGCCCTGGGCCTTGAGGTGCTCCCAGTCGGACCGTTAGGTGAGCACTCACAGGGGCTGTGGGAGCCGTGGGGGAGGGTGGTGGCCAAGGAAGGCTTCCGGGAATATGGCTTACCACAAGGTCTGGTTCCTGCTGGGAACTCCATACCTGAAGTTTCCTTCCTTCCTTCCTGGCACCCCGAATTCCTCAGGCTTCTCCCCACCTTTGTCCCAGGCTGGACTGTGCAGCATCAGAACGGGCACACCGAGACGTTTGGGTTTGTGTGTGTGTGTCTGTAAGCCTGTCATGTGTACACTTACTAAAGTCATTGGCTTCTTCCCCTCACCATGACTCCTGCCTGTTAAGTGAATGAGGGGGAGGGAGCAAGGGGGAGAGAGAAAGAGAGAGAGAGAGAGAGAGGCAAAAGGAGAGATTGCCATGAAAGGAAGAAAGGTGGGTAGCTAGCGGTCCCTAACCCTCTCCCACCTCCACCAAGAAAAGACTCTCTGAGCTCAAATTACATGTGAAGAGAACGTTCTCACATCAGGAGCAGGAGGAGGCACAAAGCCTAACTATATGAGAACATCTAAAAGTACAGTTATGTGCACAGAGAGAGCAAGTCCAT